TGAATGAATGTATGTATTTAGGTATGCATTCATTCATATATATATATATATACGTGTCTGTGTGTTTATATATATGTACTTGAATATATATATATATATACGCACATTCAATAATGTATATATATATATATAAATATCTATGCATATGTATATATATGCATATGTATGTATATATATGTTTGTGTGCGTCTTTGTCTGTTTCTGCGTGTGTGTGTGGGGTAGAGGATCGGATAGATTTGTGTATGCCTGCGTGCGTGCATGTGCGAAGTGTAGTCTAACAATCCAACGATAATATCCAAAGAAAGACGACAAAAGTCCGAACTATTGAAGGCACGAGTATGTACAGATGTGGGTATAAATACTTATGTAAATGATTTTGGAGTACATATATGGGTTTCAGAAGAGTTTTAGTGAGTATAGCTAATTTTATTGTTGTCTTTTAATGAGGCATGAAGGGCATACTATCCCTTGCAATGCCGATAATCTCATACTATGTACAGAAAAGATTCGAATCTCCTTAGTGGAACTCAGCTTGCAAAACATACGCGACCAGATGATCACAGCAGCTGAAGTTGCCAATATGTCCTTAATGCTAGTGCGAAACACACATGACCGGATGATCATGATACACACCTGATTGTGCCGTATTGCAGCCAATACAACCGACATGAAAGTATTCTAAGGATCAACCTTGGTATGTCTGGGGTTGCATCTCTACAAACAGTCTCGACTGGCAAATTGATAATAATAATAGAGCGAGGACTCTTGATTGGATTCGAACCTCTTACTAATTCGACCATCTAGAAGCCGATACCTACACAGTGCGCTCGGGGATACCACTCTCGTTGATGGCGGCGTTAGTGTTAACATTGGTTACTGACTCGGGGTCCATGTCCGAAAATTTGCGGTGCTGGCCTACAGCACGTGACGCCCAACGCACATACATCTTTCTCGCGACGAAATAAGCGACGACGGGGGCCAAGATAAGGGCCAAAATGGCAATACACAAAGCAGCAATTGCTAGATCCTCGGCTGAATCACTGTCACCGCTGTCGGTAGATCCTGCGCTGGTGACTTCGCTGTCAGCTTGTGAAGTACCCGAACTACTGGCGCTTGAAGTCTTCACACAGCCGGTGGTAGAAATCTCGTCAGCGATGCCGGGGACACATCCAACATTGTTGCGGTATTCCTGAACGCGCAGAATAAATATCAATTAGAAATATGAAGGCAACCGAAAATGAAGAGAGAACGGAAATACAACACAATTTAGGACACAAAACGCCAAGTACTGTAGCAGCAACTTACCTCTGTGTGCTCGGACAAGCTTCTGGCTTGGAAACCACCAGTTCCGAGGATCTCAGCAAGCTTAGAATCGGCACCCTGAGAAACAACAGCGTTCGTAAGCGCACTCTGAGCGCCAGAGGTGATATCTCCCTGGCGGTATACCATTGGGTGAGACGGGACCTGTCCAAAGTCCTGAATCAACAGAACCTCGGAAGCCGGTACACACCAATCAGGAGCACCAGTAACACCACAAACCTCATCGAAAGTAGTTGTACGGATGAAAGCAACGTCTCCAGCGCCTCTCAACATGCACTCCAGAGCACCATCGTAATCAGAGTAGTTCATCTCGTTAGCGGGGCACTCAGCATTATTAGCCCATCCGTCGGCACTATTTAGGCTATCACAGATAGAGCAAAGTACAGGCGCTGCACACTGTCCAGCACTCCAGAATTCAGAAACGGTGTCCTGAAGAGTATCCTTCTCATTAATGATCATGTTACGCACACCATAACCGACAGGCATATACATACCCGCACTCTTAGAGAATCCAGTATGGCATGAGCGCTTTCTCTCAGTCTCAGCGTAAGTAGTGATACCACTACTTGCCTTCACTAGGGCACCAGCGTTGTAGTAGGGTAATCCATTGCGGGTTAACAACTCGACGGCGATAGTATCCAAACCGTAGTTTAGGCCAGATAGGGTCGTAGCCGCGTCAACATAACTAAAATCGGCGTCACGGTTCATAACCTGCTGATTAGCAGTCTCCTCGCTGTCTACAACACTCACAACAATGTTCAGTCCACTGATTTCAGCCAAAGTTGTGCGAAGTAGGTCCGCGTTGGAAGCATCACCGGCATATGCCATACGCACAGGCAGTGTGGCGCTTCCATCCTTTGGCTCCATCATGGTACAGTCGGGCGCCGAAGTGCCGACAAACGTGTTGGCCTCGGGCATACAAGCTACAGTCTCCTTGTAGTTTCCGAAGTGGGCCTCAAGTGTCTCGGTATCTGTGAAGCCATAGTCCTGATCAAAGTAGGCCATAACAGGACCCGACTCCATTGCGGCAAACTTAGTGGTCAGAGTAGGAATGAGAGTCGATAATATCCCAGTTGTGGCCTGAGTGCGTACGATAGCGTGCGTGGGTGAGGCTCCGAATTCGGCTATGATCTCATAATCAGTAAGCTCATGGCACCAACTAGCGGCCGTGGTTCCAGTACAGCTGTCAGCATAGGTGGTATCCTTGATGAAGGCAACGTCTCCTAGGCCTTCACTCAGACATCTTAGAGCACCTTCGTAGTTACCATAATTCTCGTAAGTCTCGCCAGGACATGCGGTGTCAATCTCGGGAAGCGCGCAAGATTTGGACCAGTACTCGGTGACAGTATCCGTAAGTGTGTCTAGAGCGGTCATCAATCTGCGGCCTGTGGCCCAACCGGTGGGCATGTACATACCAGCACTCTTCTCGTATCCAGTGTGGCAAGAACGTTTACCCTTGGTCTCGACAAATGAACGAATTCCGGATGAACGCAACACCCAAGCTTGCGCATTGTATGAAGCGGTACCTGCATCAGCCGACTTGGCAACCGCAACACTCTCTAGATCATCTAGATGGGCCACAGACGAACCAGAGTCAGAGTCAGTGAAAGAGGCGGTACCATCCAGAACACGCGATACTCCCTCGGCTTCGGATTCGACGGGAATTGTCTTGACCACAATGGGAGAAAAGTATGCACTCAGTGCAGCATCGGCTTCAGCGTTGTAGTTCACAGTGGCCATAACAAGTGGGTCTTCAGTGGTTCCACGACGACCAGTGACACAGGCTCGTCCTGTTGAAGAGCCGGGGTAGCAATCCTGGTTGTCCAGGTAATTCTGAGAAACTATCTGGTGCTGTTCAAGTGTCTCGTACTGATAGCCGTGAGTTCCGGATATGTATGGAGTGTTAATGGTCAGGAAACCAGCCTGGAGATCTGCTAGCATAGTTGGGTCCATTGTTTTAGAACTGACGATTACATGCGTTGGGGAGTTGGCAAAGACCTCTATCTGACGAACCTGCTTAGTACCACACCAGTCGGCTTTGGTTACTGCGTTATCGCCGCAGTTATCCGGGAACGTAGAGTCCTTCAAGAATGCTACATCACCGAGGCCATCTAAAAGACATCTTAGAGATCCGTCATAGTCGGAATACGATGCATCGCACTCGTCTCCAATCATACAATTCTGACAAATACGTCTATCAACATCATCGTATGCGCACGATCCCCCTGTGAAATAGCCTAAGACGGTTTCAACGTGGTTGTTGTTGACACTCGGTATCACTCCAGTACGAGCACCATAGCCCAAGGGCATTTGCATGCCAGCTGTCCTAGAGTAACCAGTGTGGCAAGAACGCAACCCTTTAGTGTCAGCCAAATATTGGATGTTGTCGGTTGACGGGTCATCTAATACAACAGCAATTGTTACATAGTGGGTACGCTTATCTTCGTTCTGGACAACGGCGATAGTCTGTAATGTGTCCTCGATATCCTGGATAGACCCCATGTCGGCCTCCATGAAGTCACATTCGCCAGCAGCTAGTCTTTCCAGAGCATCAGCTTCGCTGGTGGATAGGACGAGAGTGAAAGTGTACTGAGGCATGGCATCACTGAGTGTCTTCGTGAGCTCCGTAGTTGCTTCTGAATAATCATCGTCATGGTAACAGATCCTGACCTCTGTGGTCGCGGCGGCCGCTGTAGTCGCTGGGGCCGCTGAGGTGGCATTCTGTGCATTTACGGCAGAAATTGCCAGCGCGGCAGTAGCGATTGCCAACCGAGAAAACATATCGGTTGCAGGAATTTGAATAAAACGATTGCAACTAATGTGAGGGGTGATTGCGATTGTTCTTCATTAATATAGTGAAGGAGAATCTGCGTAAGTGTCCGAATCGTGCACGGCAACGCACGCTGTCTGTCCAGGATTCACGTACGGCTATGCTACTAGAGTTTATTTTTAAAAATATTTACATAAAATGTTGTTTTGTTTGTTTTCGAATTCCTTATGCGAGTGGATACGTCGCTGGCGTCTCGGCTTTTTGTACATCATGTCCCAGATCCGAGAAGGTGAGATTTAGTTTTTATGTATCCGGACCGCGGATAAACCCTAGTATTTATGTTTCACACATACTAGGGTTTTCAAGGCAAAGTCGGTCCAAAAGAGTTTCTACTCTCTATCGTGTTGTCTGTCCGGTTTTTGTTAAATAATTTGCCCCATTTATAATTGAGGTCATGCAACGGTATCGTCATTTTGCTCCTGTATTTTTACATATTTGTACATAATTTCCACGAAATGCCTGGTTGATAGCCCAATTTCTCACGGCACACACGCGACGTCCACTCACCGAGAAAGTCCCCGACATTCTACAATGGCAGGCGCCACAGGCCGAAAGTAGAGGGCCGGCCAGGCATTAACCACCGTCTTCTTCTTTTTTTTTTAAACCAGGCCTTTCAGTTCCAGACTTCCAGCGATTTATCGACAATATTTATACATATTAGCCGCCGCCGCCGTCCGCCATATATTTAATGATTTTGTAATTTTTTTTTGAATTTTCAACAAAAACAAAACATCAAATAGAAACAACAAACCCAAAATTATTGTCACAAAATCAAACAACTTTTATAAAAATATTTACAGCATGGGGTCAGAGTCGGTCAGACCGTCAGATGATATATATATATAAATTTAAAAAATGTAAAAGTTATTCTTTTTTTTAACACCCCATTCATGTACTAAGGGGTTAAAATAGGGCCAAAAATAAAGAAGCGTTCCTGATTTACTAAATCTGGACTTCAATTTGTTCCCAATATTTATTGGCATATTTCAAGATTAAGTATTTCGTAAAAGATCTGTGAAGGCGCAAAGGTCGTAGTACAAGTAGAACACCTTCTAAAGGAGTCTAACACTACATCGGAAACCTCCAAAACGCGATTATTGGGTCTAAATATGCATAATTAGTAAAGTTTCAAAGTTGTCACGTACAATTATTGCCAAAACAATATCGTATATGCATTCTTATAGCCGTAATGCAAGCTACAGCTGCTAAAATCGAGAAAGAGTGTGTTTACGTCATCCATCGATTGCACGATGAAATCTCATTTCCTGAACTTTTTGCCAAAATTCACTACCTATTCACCTACAAACAATTACAATAACAGCATTATGGTTTAATTATGCTTATATAGATATAACGAAGGTCTGAAAATCATATTGAAGACATATAATTGAATATGCACACCACATGGTCGTCATTGATGGACACGCATGCACATAAATGGTGATTTTGAGCAAGCATAATAAGCCTTCTTCTATACCTCAAAGATGATTTCTGAACTAATAATACATGTATTTATTATATATTAGAACCCTTTGAAGGTTCAAACTGCTAATACGCGACCTGGAAATCCAAGATTTGACAAGGTCGAAAAAGTGCACAATCCTGTTCATAAATCGATACAGCTGTATGAACCAGTAGGGCTATCAACTTGGCTCCTTCGCAAAATTCTTTTGAATTGTTTTTAGAAAAAGTCTAGAAAATAAAATTGGGATTTTTATGTCCAAAACCGGATATAGTAAATTAGGTTTGGTTCTTTAAAATCGAGACCCCTTTGTCTATGGATGGGGTGTTAAGAAGAAAGAACCCTTTTTTTTTAAACAAACCAAAAGAAAAGTTATGATATGACCTATTTGTTTATAAAAACGGCTGAACCCTATAAAAAAGAAAACTATGGAAATCCGGGTCTTTGAACTGAAAAAGATTCAGTATATTGTATTGTTCAAAATTGGAATCTAGGATCTTTTAGTCAACTCCATCGGTATACCAGAAAACTGGCCTGACTTCCTTATCTGTAAAGCCAAAAATAGGTACAAAATATATAATTTTGTTATCAAATCACCCTTTTAGGATCTATCTTTGGATTTAGCTATATCGATAAGAAAATCAGGTTTAAAAAATATCAATTTTAAAGCATGCCGATTCGAACCATATATTTATCCTACCCTGATTTATTTTTTCTCAACTTCGCCCTCAATATTTTACTATTTTTACAAAAACCATAGCCCTCTGGATTTGAGTATGCTCTAAATTTACGATTTGTCTCCGAAGAAACCTGATTTCTGCTCGAGACCCAAATCCAGAGGGCCATGCAAAAACGTAAATATTTATTAGAGTTTTTTAGTTTTTGTCAGTTGACAATTTTTTTGTACAGTACTATCTTTTTAAACTAGTCAAACATGATTTTTGATCTGTTTTTTAAAAACAAAAGCAAACAAAAATCATATAGAAATAAACAAAAAAGAAAACAAAGGTCAACCGTCCATATTTAGCCTCTGTCCTATTTTTTTTTAATTTAGGAATTACATATTTAGAACACTCAGTCACTCAGAGTCAGAGACTCAGAGCAGAAGGAGGCTATGATGAATGGAACGATCAATGAACCATCAAATAAACATTTTTATTTCTCTTTTTTACAACCAAAATGCGGCTTTTTTTTTACAAGCGGTGAATTAATATATAAATATTTATGACGTTTTAAAAATATTTTTGTTTTTTATATATATATCAATTATCACCAAACACTATCTTTTTCAATACTGTATTTATTTTATATAGATTTTTAGTATAATACTGTATGAAAAATACTTTCTTCGAATGATTTTTATTTATTGTTGCTTTACAAACGCTGTCACAAGTTTGTGACTGTCCATAGCCCAATGCCCCGTAGGCCATAGCCAACTAATAAAAACTGAAACAGTCTTTGTGAATAAAAAAAGTCACTTTTCACTTACATAATTTTTAAAAACAAACAAACCAGATTCATATGCTACCAATTTTATTTGATTTTTCAAAACAATCGAGCATTTTTTAAAACAATATTCAAAAAACAGTTGGTTACTTTTCACTTCTTTTGAGTTTTGACTCCGAGGACCAAGGACCAAGGAGTCGAGGACCAAGGTAGCATAGACCAAGGACAAAAGCCTTGCCCCAATAAGTGAGTCCTATCTCTATCAGGCTATCACTCCCCACTATCCAGGACCAATAGCCCAAGTGCCCATGTGTTACAAAAAAACCCTAAAACATATCAGGCTATCACTCCCCACTATCCAGGACCAATAGCCCAAGTGCCCATGTGTTACCAGTCCCCGATACTTCCTAGTCCATACTCCGTCCCCAGTCCTGTCCTGACTCCTGAGTCTAAGACTCAGAGTCGTAGGAGTCGTAGCCCTCACTCCCTAGGCTACAGTCTACAGTCTACAGTTCTACATTCTACACTCTACAGTCTACAGTCTACAGTCAGGAACCGTCTCTCTCACTGATTCACTCTACTACTATAAAAATGAGACAGACAGTGAACGTGTTTATTGGATTGTGCAACTTCTATAGTGGGTCTAAATCCAATAAAAAAAGCCCCACCCATTTTATGATTTGCAGTTATATCTGCTGTCTGTCCTTCACTCCTCGTAGAGTAGTCTTATCAGTAAACATAAAAATAACAAGAAGTGCAATGGTTAGCTGGTAGTTTTGCCACTGCAAAAGTACAGCCAGCAACACTGCTGTGTATTTTAACTGGCTGACTGCTGCAGTTTGTTGTTCTGAATCTGCATTTCTGCATTTCTGATTTTTTTTTATTAATAAAAAGTTAGACTCACTCTCTCTCTCTCTCTCTCAGATTTTTTGAGAAAGAGAATAGAGCTGAGACTCCAAAAAAAAACATTTACTTATTCCTATTTTGTAAACGACACGACACAAGAGAACACTCACCAGTCGACACCTAAGCTCATTACGTTATGGGGTTATGAAATAGAAGTTAAACATAAACGCATATTTATTCATTTTTAAAATGTTATAACGTCTATAGTACTGATCAGGAGGGCCTACCTAAGTTCTTTTATAGAACTACTTCATATGATCAAAACAGTACACACCTAAATGTTTATACCCGCAAGGTGCACCTCTGAGCATACAAAGGACCACATTTGCAATAGAAGTTTAACGTAAACGTATTTTTTTAGTCGACTTATAAAAGTTTTAACGAAAAACGGTTGAGGTTAGGTCGATATTCGTGAGTCGAAAGTCGTGAAGACTAGTCTCGAGTCCAGCTCGACTCTCGACTCTCGAGTCTCGACGAGTTGACAACACCGCTGAATGCAGCTGATGCGCTCGCACTGAATAAATTACTACCTATAATTCTGCAGTCCGTGACTGTGTCAAAGAATAGTGACTATAAAGAGTATTTGGAGTATTTATTTCATACGTATTGTAGTCCACAGTTCCAAACTCATCACCACAGAGGCACAGTCTCAACGACTCGAAATTTCACAGCACAGCTGCACAGCTCGTATTGTAAAGCGTATTTACGTTTATATTCAATGCGTAAGGTAAATACGTATACTAACTGAGTATTTTCATTCTGTGCCTTTACGTCTATTGTGGACGTATATTATATTAAATGGCTAAAAAAATTACCCCCCAATGTAATGAAAAGAGTCATGTGGCAGTCATATTCCAATTTTCGGTCACAATATACAATGATTTGGATTACTCCAGACCTAATTTGTAACCATGTGAGATATTTTATCGGGAAGTGGAATCTTTATAATGAGCATATGATGTTCAATGAAACAGATTCCAAATTATTATTTATTTTTTAAAAATAGGTTTTGGAAAATTATATTTCGGAAGGTAGTAAACATAGTTCTTTTGACGTATTTACGTCTATTTTTTGAAAATGTAGACGTTATATAGAGGTAATATACTGTATAGGTTTTACAGGTTAAGTTATGTAATTAGCTTTGCTCTACAGTCCGGTGAGTCCACAGTCCACACTCCACACTCAGTCCACAGTCCACACTCCACACTCAGTCCACAGTCCACAGTCCACAGTCCACACGACATATTCACCGTCCACAGTCCACAGTCCACAGTCCAAAACAGCAAACTCCACAGTCCACATATTTACAACTCCACTACTACTCTGCACTAACCCATTCCGCGGCACTACACGGCGCAGACCCGATCCGTACCACAGAGGTGGGTACTCTACTTAGTAGGTCAGCAAGCGAATATATGGAACATTCGATGGTAACAGTGTTTTGACAACACCGGCCCGAATTGACTCAGCGCATATCTTCCATTGTCGACTCACTTGGCCCAAGCTTCAAATGGGAATTTACTGACCACTTCTTCCCATCAATCTTTCCTGAACCACTACAGCGACTATGAGAGCCATACCGTATGTTCCTACATTGTATCATACATACTTGCCATTTTTGAAATAAATAATATTATCCCTACTAGAGTGGACCTCTACTACTACTGGTAGTAGTAGTAGAGAGCCTCTCACTCTTTCTCTAGAGTATTCTTCTACACACACGCAGTCTCACGCGGAGTCACAGACAGTCAGACACATAGACTGATACAGTTACTGTTACTGTGTCACACACACACTGTCACATACGTTACAACTCACATGACTACAAAAGACAAAGTACACGCACTGTTCAGTGTTCAGTGAGTGACTAAGTGTTCACAGCACACACAGTTGCACTGTGACAGTCACAGTCACACTCGAGCACGCGAAACAGCGAGACAACGAGAACTTCTTGAGAAGCGATGGGGAGTGGGACAAAGAAGTCAAAACTCCAAGAAGACTGAATCTGTACAAAATACTTGATGAGTCTGACTCTTTGTGTCAGACAGTCATCAGTGTGATGAGTTGTGACTTATGATTTGTGGCAGTGTTACTTGTGAGTTGTAAGTTTTAACTCATAAAACTTGAAAAAAATCAGTCTTGGCCAATACCCTATGGCCATACTCTCTCTCAGCGACTCAGTCGGGCGGAGGGCAGCCTCCCCCAAGTGCACAACTCACAACTTGTCACAAGTCACAACTTCACAAGTCCCACACTCCTAAAGTCCTCGTTCCATTCTAGGGCCCCAACCCCAAAGCTACAGAGCATAGGGTCCCAGAGTCCTAGACTCCTAGCAGGTGTAAGTCTGTAAGACTGGGCGAACTTGTCGGTTACAGTTTCCTAGGGATAATTTTATTTATTGCAAAAATAAATATTATTATCCCTAGGTTTCCTAGTACAGACTTAGCGACTTAGCTCTCTAACTCTACTATTAGAGAGAGTGTGTGCGTGTGTCTACTCTATAGAGAAAGCGTAGGGCCGTAGGCTTTAGGCAGCCTCCAAATTCCAATAAGTGATGACTGATGACTGTGATGACTGATGACTGATGGGCCCTAAGCCCCCAGGCCTCCATAAGGCTCCAGGCCTCAGTCTAAAACTAAAGTCTACACTCTACACTTATACAGTTAACAGTGTATTTTTATTGTCAAAACGTTTCTACTACTCTATTCAGAGTAGTACAGATTACAACTCACTTCATTCACCTCTCTACTCTCTACTAGAGTAGTAGAGAGATAGAGTAAGACTGAGAGTAATCGCAAGCCGCAGACTGCGCTTAGAGACCACAAAATCCAGATGGTCAAAGACTCAAGGGCCTTGTAAAAATCAGATTCTACTATTTATTTATTAATTTATTTTAAAAAAGAGGAACGAATTCGGTATATGTATTTTTTAAATAATTACTTTTGAATTGGTCTATTTTAGAAGGCTATGGAATTGTGTGTAAATATATATATTTTTTAAACAAAATTTGGTTAGGAATATATATATTGATTGTTTTATTTTTAAAGAATTTGTTCTTTCAGGGGCTATTTTTTAACGATTTTTACTTGTTTGTTTTTTAAACAAAACATTTAGTTTTTAATAATAAATAGGGCAGCTGATGTCGTTTTGAAAAAAAAAATCCAAAAAGAAATCTGATAGCCTTCTACTGTATAAATTGAAACATAAATCCGGAAAAATATGTATTTATAAAAATTCAAAAACGAGATTTGACCTAGAAATATATTTCAGATATGTAATTGTAGAAAATATGACCATTTGATTTTTTGAAACAGTGTTTACGAAATATTTAGATTTTTGTGTATAATTTAGACTATGTTGAACTTATTTTTGTTCTCTCTCTCTCCTCTTCTCTACTCTCGCCTAAATACGCCCTACACTCTACAGCAGCAGCTTCAGCCTACGCCCTTCTGAGGGTCAGAGGCTCCCGGGCAATGGGTATGATTTTCTTTTTTTTGGTCTTTTTCATAGCCCTCTGAAAATTGGTTCATTTTTCAAAAGCCGTGCTTCAATACCCGACACTTTCCGATTTGGCTCCACAAGCCCGCCTGTTCCGCCTGCAAAAAGACCGCGGTCACAGGCGCCCAATAGCAGCAGTGAGTCTCCCAGCTACCGCTCAAAAGTGGACAAACCTGCAAAACCGAGCCCTAAAAAACGCCCGACCCACCAGCTTCTCAGTCCCAATCGCAGCCGCCAGTACCCGAACACCTTTTAACGAAAGTGGTGGGCCGCCCGATGCCGGACAAAACTCTTCATAGCAATTTTCCCTAACGGCAAGCCCCCATCCCAATCAGTATTTGAAAAATACTGACATGCCCAACCAGCCCTCAATCGCCACCACTTTCTCTGGTATCTTCCGTATCTCAACCAAATCGCCGCGGAAGCTCCACCAGTTTCATCCGCATTTGTGTTCCTAGCGACTCTGTCGCCCAGATGAAACGACATGCAGCCCTTACGTGGAAATGGTAGCTTGATGAAAACATCGACCCCCGCTCCCAACAACATCCCGACGATACGAAAGCAGCTTTAATTCACTATCTCCGCACCAAGCGGGAGGCCCGCTGCACACATGAACGAGCGCCAAAAATTCTTGCCCGCAGCATGGATGCACTACTGAGCCCACTTGTCAACTCCACAAACGCAGACATCCTCCAATCTACCGCGGACCGTCTCCAGAAGGCTTATCAAGCAAACCACGATAAAAACCTCTTCTCACTTAACCCGCGAATCCCGGTAAACGCTAAAGAATCAGCGCGTACGGAACCCGGACGACTTCATATACCAACGGTCTCCCCGAGACAATCATCCGACACGATGGATAGCAATACGAAGCCTCAGCTTTCCACGACGGACTCTTCGATGACAGTCAATGATATAGAAATGGCTGACATCGTCAAAGAGGAGAGCCCAGTAGTATTGACCGATGATGAACAATTTTAGGCCCAATGAGGATGACGCTCTTCAACCCACAAGGACTCAACATGGACAACGCAGCACATACAGATAAGTGTTTAAACGTTATATCGATTTTAAGTCAGGTTGATGTTATGTGTGTGGTTGAAACCTGGCATAACACCACATTTCTGAATCATATACACTCGAACACACACGACCACTTCTTCCCATTAATCCTTCCTGAACCACTACAGCGACTACGAGAGCCATATCATATGTTCATACATTGTATCATACATACTTGCCATTTTTGAATAAATAATATTATCCCTATGGCTGCGACCAGGTATTGCGACTGACGGCTGTCTCTGCCCTGTCTGCCCCGGTAGCCACAAGTTCACTACCAGCCACTTTACCTGCATCCAAGAACTGATTCGACGCATCCTGGTAGGCCCGAAACTGCCACCCATTGGCCCTGACCTCCTTCGGCAATTACAGGAGTGCCACGACTTCCACGGTATCTGGACCCTCCACGAACACCTTGGATCTTTTCTCCAGCATGTTGAAGAACCACTGTACCCTCACCCGTCCCTGACACATCAACAGATGTTCCCCATACCCCGGCTAATCACGCTGTTGAAATAATACTTCTAAATATCGGTTCAAACCAAATCATCGCGCTTGTTGGTTCCGACTATGATACTTCCGATCCAGGCCAGCCAACACATACCGAATTCATCCGTGGTCTGGTGTGGCATTGGCTTACCCACATCCTCGCTTCTCGACCGGATTATGACGGATAACCTGGTCCTTCTCGGTATTTCGTACTCTGCACTAACCCATTCCGCGGCCCTACACGGTGCAGACCCGATCCGTACCACAGAGATGGGTACTCTACTTAGTAGGTCAGCAAACGAATATATGGAACATACGATAGTAACAGTATTTTGTCAACACCGGCCCGAATTGACTCAGCACATATCTTCTATTGTCGACTCACTTGGCCCAAGCTTCAAACGGGAATTTACTGACCACTTCTTCCCATCAATCTTTCCTGAACCGCTACAGCGACTATGAGAGCCATTTCATATGTTCATACATTGTATCATACATACTTGCCATTTTTGAAATAAGTAATATTATCCATAGCTAGGGACTGACGCTTCTTAACTGTAGTGTCATTAGTAGATTGTATTTCTTGTGCACAGACTTTAAATGCTGTGTTGCCTTTGAACTGCTTAACAATTGGGTAGAGAAATTGGGTAGAGAGTGGAATCTCTGATTCTTTGACCTTGTTAAGGAATATCTCAGAAGGGGTTCATTTGGTTGTTCCAATGGGACCTATACGACATATTATAGTATGTCTCTAGGGTGTCTTCTGGACGGCTCGGGTACCCTGATATAGGAAAGTATCTACTTCCCTATCTAAATACATTGGCTCGTATTGTATCATGCTTATCAATTTATTGAGCCATGGATCTTTACTCCGTAATGGGCAACACAACGTGATGGTAGCTTTATGTATTTGAACATAATTTAATAGCTGGGCAATTAACTGCCATGGTGGATTAGCCCACGTATTATGTTTGGAGAGGTCTATTTGAAAGGCGTCTCCCAAAGGATGATTTAATGTCCTGTAATTCGATAGTTGTGCATTATGATGTGCAGCAAACATATCTATGGTATGTGCCCCAAATATCTTTTGGGCCAGTTCAAACCACCTGGGATTACATTTCCAGTCAGTGGCTAGTAACTCACGTACGGATTTATTAAAGCCCGGTACGAAGCGTGATAACATATCCGGTAAATGGTTATGTATTCCTGGCAGATGTTTATTATCAAAATGAAACTTTGATATTGTATCATGCCAGCGACTCAGTAATTGTGAGTCGAGTTTCATCTCTTTCATATATTGAAGAGATTTCTGATCACACATCAGCGTAAATGCTGTTCCGTATAAGTAATCTCGGAAGTGTGTTAGAGCAGCCACTATGGCTAATAGCTCTTGTTTGACAGTTGAGTAATTCAACTGTGAAGCATTCATTGCTCGACTAAAGAATTGTATAAATCTAGGTTTGTTATCTATAACCTGATATAATACTCCTCCTAAGGCTAAGTCGGAGGCGTCCGTTGCTATTCCAAACGGCACGCCATCAACTGGTCCTTGTACAACAGGGGCTTG